TTATATATATATAGTGTGGTTAGGTGTTTCTGCCACATCACTGCCATCGCAGTGCCTGCTTAGGCTGGCTGTGAAGTGCCACTCTTCAAATGATTCTTTTTTTTTTTGGATGTGAGTGTGTGCTTGGCAAATGAGCTAAGGGCAACATTTGACTCACAGCTGGAGCTAACTAGAGAGGGGACCAGGCTGAAGCCTGATTCATGGGCAGCATTAAAACAAGAAGCTTTGCTAAAGGATGGATTGATAATGTGCCTGTTACTTTCTAGGACTTTAAGTGAGAATTGATTAATGTTTTTTATCTGCTAATATTAAGGCCATTTATTCACTTAGATTATGCTCGTTTACCAAAACCTGTATTTTTCATTTTTGTCTCTTGTGCTGAGGAGTGCTTTCAAGATTAGTTTAAGAATAAATCACGACTCTTGCTTCTGGTTAGTATGTGGATGATAAGCAGCATTATTAGTGCTATTAATTACGTAGTGCTCGCTGGCACCCGCACTCCCCACCACTTACTCATTCAGCTTTCTACAGAGTTCTCCTGTCGAAGTCCGTGGGGCTGCCCACACACATAAACAAAAGCCTGTGTCTGCTGCATGATTGAAGCCTTAGATATTTTCATATTCCTCTTTGTTATTTATATGCCGTTGGAAGCTCGCATGACCTGCCTTTTTTTCCCATCAGATCACATAAATATTTTCTGTGCCTTTCAAATGAAGCTAATGCAATTTTTTTTTTAAAAAAAAAGAGAAGTATAATGTGCTTGTCATCAGTGCTGTGAGCTTCACTTATCTTCATCTTTCAATTTTCGTGTTGGTCTGGGATGTCTGGAGATAAGCCACGGAAGTCTTAAAAATGGAACATGTTCTAATAAGGTTTTCTTCTTTACTGTTCATTTTCCCTAACATATTCCCAGGCGTTTGCAATGACTAACCAAATTCTGGTGGAAAAGTCCGTCGTTGGCTGGAAGGAGATAGAGTATGAAGTTGTGAGAGATGCTGCTGATAACTGTATTGCTGTCTGCAATATGGAAAACGTTGATGCTATGGGAGTCCATACAGGTAGGCCTGGGCACAGGGAGGCTCACTGGGAATGGCTCACTGGTAATTTTTTTGTGCAGTGCCCTTCTGCCTGCTGTTATTGACACAGATTTGTGATTGATTAAGTAGGCTCTAGAAATGCTCTTCAGGTCTTGGATACAGCCAGTTAGGGTGTGAAACAGGTATTGTTACGCTAAACCTACCCCTGTGATCTCGTTTTCCATAAGATTGCCCAGCCTGTCCAACTCTGGGCCTGTAACTATCTGTGCTTTTCATCAGCTGTGCATCCACAGGTTTCAATATCTGTGGTAACTTCATTACTAGCAATGGGTTAGCAAAGGAAGTGGCAGTGACCTGTGTGGCTAGAATTTACTGCTGCTGAGCTGCTTCTCATTTTCCTTCTCTGCTACCTTGTGACAAACAGGGGATTCTGTGGTAGTGGCTCCAAGCCAGACACTCACTAATGAGGAATTTCAGATGCTGAGGGATCGTGCCATCAAAGTTGTCCGGCATTTGGGCATCGTGGGAGAGTGTAATATCCAGTTTGCTTTGCATCCAACTTCCCTGGAGTACTACATCATTGAAGTTAATGCCAGACTCTCGAGAAGTTCAGCTTTGGCCTCCAAGGCGACAGGGTAAGATCATTTAAAATACCCAAGATATTACAGAACAAACAAACGAATAAACAAAAACTGAGGGGAGAAGAACAGAAAGAGAAAATTACGATAAGGGACTTGGATCAGTGTATTATTTAAATACATAAGTGACAGCTGCAAGGAAGAAGAGCTCCTGCATCTGCTCTCCATGCAGTTAAGACAAGGAGGCACAGGCTTAATTTACAGCAAGGAAGACTGAAGTTGGCTGTTGGAGAGAACTCTGGAGTGGTCAGGCCGGTAAGGTGCAGATTTCTGCATGGGAAGCTTCTAAGAACAGGTCTTGTCAGCATCTGCTAGGATTGACCCCTGGAGAGGTGTCCTGCTGGGGAGATGGAAGAAGAGATTAGTGAGCCCTCCAGGTTCGTTTCAGCCTGCCAATGCTGTTACTACAAATGGCAAAACTACTAGGAGGTGTGTCGGGGGGGGAGCTGCATAGTTCTCCTTACAAAGCATGTCCACTGTATCCATATGTTGGCTGCAAATCACCTCTGGGACCCAGAGGACACAGTTATTAATGAGCTGTCTGCCAGATTGATGCAAATGGTATTGCTAGCAGCCTTTGTTTTGTTGGCTAATCATAAACTAATCAAAATAAGAATGGTCAGAGCAGACTGTTTAACAATTGGCTTCTTAATTGCACTTTGCAGATGCTGTTGAGAGGCACAAATTAATCTCTAATTTGCAGTTCTCAACAGCTCTTGTGGACTGGAGATAAGCCATGGTGTTGGACAGTGGGCGTTTGATTGTTTTCTTTTGGATGGCAGACTTGCAGCAAAACATGTTTATGTGGTCCCACTGTGGGTGTGACACGTGCTCAAAATGGTGGCTTTGCAGATCATAAACCAAGTCCCAGGTCTAGGTAGGGAGCTCTACAGTGTCTTAGGGTAGGGAGCTGCATGGGCCACTCCTGGGATTTGCAAAAGCCAAGTACTTCCCACCCTTTTTCTCCTCTAGGGCAGGTATCCATTAGCATTTATTGCTGCCAAAATTGCCTTGGGGATCCCCTTGCCAGAAATCAAGAACGTGGTGACAGGAAAAACCTCTGCCTGCTTTGAGCCCAGCCTGGATTATGTTGTCACCAAGATACCCCGCTGGGATTTAGACCGTTTTCAGCATATGTCCAACCGGATTGGAAGCTCCATGAAGAGTGTGGGAGAGGTGAGTGCAAGACTCTCCTTCCCTTCCGTTCCACCAGTCAGGAAAGTAATTTCTCTTTCTTGGAAACCCTCAGAATATCTATCTTCAGGGACCTAATGGCTTTTGAAGATATTTATTAAGCTCAAATGGTTTTTATCCAGTACTATAATTAATTGAAATGAGTTAGGACTGTGTAATCCTGGATACCACAGGGTGAATTCATAAATAGTTTGACTCCTAAGGGGAGAGACCACTTTGGATCACCTGAGATTGACTTTATTCTTAACACTCACTACAGACTCCGAGTTATTTTTGGTTTGGGTTTCTGTAGTGGTGGTTAATTAGAGTATAACTTCAAGAGTTGTAGTCTCTTAAGATTTTCAGTGCTGCCAATGAGCCACAGCTCTTGGTTGGTCCCATAGTTGTTTGTCCTCTCCGTTAAAAACCATACGCCAGATTTCAGCCTGCTTCTGCTCTTGAAATCCAAACACAACCTGTAATCTTGCTCTGGAGTTTTGAATTCCATTGGTGATTAAGTCTCTTATATCTGGAACATGACAGTGTGCCTTTTAAACCCTGATTTTAAGGTGTCTGGGACAATAACAGCATTTTCAGACCATGTTTTAAGGGGAGAGAAATGAGGCAAAATGCATAAATTACCCAGTTAATTAGTTAATTACATATCAGCTACCAAAGCAAAATAATTAGTTGTGTATTTTTTCCAGCTGATTTTTTTTTTTTCCTAATGCTTTTCAAGTAGCTGTTTTGTTCAATGATTTTGACAAGTGAGACCTTACTAATATCAATTCTACCTTGCTCAGACAACAAGCCTTCATCACAACTGGGAAGATTAATTAGATTTTGATTTTTCCAGTGGCAGTTTTGGCTTTTAATGGCAATGAGTTGTTTGGGGTTTTTTTCAGTGAGTTGATGCTTACTGATACTAACTCTCTCTGCTGGTGGGTTTTTGGACTGTTCTGTAGAGCCGGGGTTCCTAAATACAGCTGCCTTGTGCACCACCAGCTGTAAACACTTCCTGGCCATACACATTTGCAGGAGGAGGTACAGAGTCCTTCTAGTGGTCATGTTTCACAAAAGAACAACTGCAGGAACCCTCTGTCCTTCTCAAAAGGCGAGATGCTGGGTAAAGGGAGGCAGGAGACGTAGGAAGAGTCAGTGCTCCAACTGTACAGGTCTGCGACTGCTGGGAGGGGAACTGAAACAGGGATGGAGAAGCTTAAGAGCAGCATTTTGCAGCTGGTGGAGACACTCAGCAGAACGTTGGTCTCCAGGACCTGTGAGTAGGAGAGGGTGTCTTTGAAGCAAGAGCTTCTTGTCGCTGTGTCTCTATTAGTGTGGCACAGTCGTCGCCTGGGCCAGACCTGGAAGGCAGGATCGCAGCAGCTACTGCGTTTTTGTTAATGGAACAGTCTGGCCTGGCCTGGCCTGGATTTTCCTGAGCTCTGTTGTGCTGGGCACCAGGCCCGGAGCTGTGAGAAAAGGGAAAACAATGTTATTTTTTTTCTTTGACATTTTTCAACATTGCGTTTGAGAAGATTTTTATGCTGTTAGGGTTTTGCTGCACTGGGAAATAAAAATGTAGAAATTTGAGAAGGAGCTCTGTTACCTCACAGATTTCTACAGAGAAAGGCTTGCTTTCTTATTAGATATGATGTCAAGATTGAAGGAGGGAAACCCCAGTGCTGCTATGCCAAGGAGGAGTAATCCTTTAAGAGAGCCCTCGCAGGGGAGAGTCGCTGTTAAATGTAATTTAAAGGAAAAGGAGCAGGTTTCTTCTGAACCTTAGAATTCCCACTGTGAGTTTCTATCTCTAACAGGTCGTTGAACAGAAATATCCTTCTGTATTACTACACCCATGCTGCTCCATAGTGCTTCCCTCCACTACAGTGCTCCAAAGCAGTTTACAGAGGAGAGCAGCACCTTCCTTTTTTTTATGGACAGGGAGAGGAAAGCAGTCACTTGTCCGAAACTCTCTGTTGATAATATTGGCAGCGTCAGGCCTAGAAGTGGGAGTCTCAAGGCTCAGCCAGCTGTGCCTGTCTTAAAGCCAGCAGGACTGTCTCAGGGACAGGTCTGAAGGCTGTAATCCGTCTGTCTGTCTGTGTGGTTTGAATTTGCACCCTGTTGTTCAGGGGATGGCTGGGCAGCAGCTCACCAGAGCTAACGTGGAAGCGCTCTCCGTTACAGGTCATGGCTATCGGACGCACTTTTGAAGAGAGCTTCCAAAAGGCCCTGAGAATGTGCCACCCATCTGTAGATGGCTTCACTTCACATCTACCCATGAACAAAGCCTGGCCAGCCACCGCAGATCTGCAGAAGGAGCTCTCTGAGCCATCCAGCACTCGGATATATGCAATAGCCAAGGTAACCAAAGACAGAAAGCCCTTGACCTGTATCCCTTGCGTTATAGCTACCAGATGGGGTCAACTGAGGTGGCAGATTCTTCACCCTCTTGCTTCCCTGTGTCAAGCACACTGGGACCACCTTGTGTGGAATCCTTGCTGTTGAAGGACAGATGTTCTCTGTCACATGTATTTTCCTATG